CCTGTCAGTGCCTCGGTACATCTCGAGAAGAAAATTTGACATTTCAACACCGAATCGAGTCTACCAAGCCGACCTTCTGTTTCTCCCTTACGACAGGGTAAGACATAAAACCTACAAGTACGCACTAACCATTGTCGACGTTGCCAGTCGCTACAAGGAAGCCAAACCGTTGACAACAAAAGATTCCAATGAAGTCGCCAAAGCCTTTGAACACATATACAAATGCAGTCGTTTGACATGGCCTACCGTATTGCAAGTCGATCGCGGACGGAAATTCATGGGAGCCATGTCGCAGCTGTTGGCCAAGCACAATGTCCAAGTGAGACGAGGTAGAGCGGACGCTAACCGTAGCCAAGCCATAGTCGAGAGAGATTCAATCGCACCTTAGCCGAACGCCTGTTCTCGCACCAGTACTCGCTGGATTTAATGGATCCAAAAACCAGAAACAAGGAATGGGTCGTACGCTTACCTCAACTGGTGGATGCCATCAACAATGAAGTCACCAGACTCGTGGACAAGACACCCGTCGAAGCCATCAAAATGAAATCTGTCAAATCATCGTCGTCAGTGGCATGAAACAGAGAAAACATTACTGGACTGGGTCAGCGTGAGGTACTTGTACTTGCTGGGAGAATACGAGGGAGACAGCAGAAAATGCGCCACCGATCCGATATAGTCCATGAAAACGTACAACATAGACCTGGTCGACATCAAAGACTGGCGAAAGACATCCCGTGAGAGCATTCGTCAGAGAAGAGTTGATGATCGTACCTCACGATGCAGTCCCTTTTCGATCGCCCACTGTATGCTAATTGTCATCATTGTGTGTGTGTGTGTGAGTGAATCAAAGGCCTTGATTTTTCCCGGACCGACTCCATGCTCACTTAAAAGTCAATATTTCAGAAACTATTCTACAGATTTTCGTCAAATTGTGCATGCATTTCAGTAGTAGTATAGACAATGATGGTACGGTATTAGGGCCTCGCAAAGGGCTAAATTGTTTAAATTGAGCCCTTGGGGAGTCTGGTCCCGTACCATCATTGTCTATACTACTAACAGCATGGAGTATGCCTCACATGAAGGGACACTGTTTTCCAAATGCATTTTTGACCGACAAATTTGCATTTATTCAGCAACACAAAGAGTAAGTAAAAAAATATAAAGTAACTATGAGCATTTATCACACAGTGAAAATGTAAATAGGAGCATATTTTTCTGTGAAATTATGTTGGCATGACACATAATTAATTACCCTTTAAATTTTATATTACGTAAGTAAATTAACATAACAAAATGGACAATATGATTAAAAATTGACAGTGCATTTTGTTGCTTGCAGTGGCTCATCTTTGTGCAGCAACCATATTAGTAGCGTAACGAGGTATGGCGTTGGAATCCACCTTCCCACAGAACAGATGTTTTTGATTATTAATCATGATTTCATCGGCGGTCTGCAGTGAATAGCTCGTAGCTATTAGCTTCTCAAGGACTTATGGAGAGAACAATGCCAAGGTATTTCAAAACTAAACCAAATACTAAACGGTAGGGTACACCCCGTCATGTGTAGGTACATAGGGGTTATATACTCTCTAATATAGTAGGGGAATTTTGTTCTTGATTTACGATTTACGATAATTTACGAAAAATTGGGAGATATATCGGATTCAGTCAATGTTAATATGATAATAATTAATGTTTTAATAGTGCATCACCACTTGCACATGCTTGTGATGATAATAGTAAATGATTTTCACATTTATAGCCAATAGACAACAGGCCCTTGCAAAAACGTCCAACACAATGATGTGAAACATTTGAATATTTCATGGCCTTACCCCAGATAGTTAACATTGAGGGCAAGAGTGAGAGCTGCAAAGTAGCATGCATCTGAAGTCCCACAACCTATTTTCTGGATCAATTAAGCATTTGATTTTGACAGCAAGAGTAGAGAATTCTGGTTAAGGTGAAGTTTATTTATTTCTTGAATAACAAGTCCGAACTTGGGCTCAGTGGCAATTATTTTCAGTCCTTAAATGAAGACGCGGAAGAATTATCTGCAGATCTTCATATTCATCCAAGGTCTGTCCTTGTGCCTTGGCCGCTGAAAAAAAAACAATAACATAAACATCTAATGACAAGGCATCTATTCTTTCTATAAACAAACATTGGTAATAATGAGGTGCCTGGTGTAACTGGGTCATAGGTGCTAATAAAACCCCACTGATTTGAATTAAAACAGTTTTTATTTCACTATTTTCATTCTGAAAGATGTTTGCCGTCATTATTGCATTGTACAAACTTATTGTACCGACACAGTTGTTGGGATCACCACTCATCTCTGTTCTATACTTGTACTAAATTAATATATTCTGCTTCAATACAGTAAACATCACCTGCACAGAAACCACAAGCTATCATATTCTTAATTTAACCAATAACGATTAATCCCATTTATCAACAATATGATATCAGAGGTGTTTATTTAAAAATAGAGTGTCTAAAGCAGTAAAATGCATTTTATTATATAGAATAAAATATAGCAAAAATACATATGCTGCAATCATTTAAATATTGGGGATCTCTGAGAAAGATGTCATCTTAAATATCTTTTTAAAAAACAGATTGAACCCAGTGTTATTAAGCCAATCTAATGCGTGACGTTAGCGTTAATCACCACACACAGTTTTAAATTGCTTAATATACATTATAATTTCAGTAGTATTTCTCATTATTCCCGTATTAGGCCAGTAGAATTGTCGAAGAACCCGGACATTTGCGATAACAAGCAAGTTTTATGTTCAAACGGCTCCAACAGTAATGTGTATTCACCATAAAAAAACAACCCAAATCAACCCTGGGGAAATTGTCATTTTGAGGCAAAAAGCATTAAAAATGAGAGAAAATTGTTAAAATTTTCTAAAAAAAAATGTATATATTTAATTCATCATTAAGATGATTGTATTTGGTTACTCAATTAGCATGCTGTATTATAAGATTGAACCAGATAATGAAACTACCTATTAAAGTTTATTTTTGTGAGAAAAGGCTAAAAAATGAAAGAAAATCGTTGAAGATTTCTTGAGGAGCTATTCCCTTATACATTGCACATTTTTTTTTCATAATTTTACTATCAAAGTTTTATTTTAAATTTTCATACAATTTACAAAATATTTTTCTGAAACTGGGCGTTTTCTTTGGGATTAAAATTACGGAGAAAACTGACAAAATCCAATATGGCTGCCATACTAACTTCACAATAGCATATCTATTGATGTTTTTTCAGAACAAAAATGTCTGCAACAAAGTAGAAAACATTTTGTCTGGTTGATATCTTCCTGTCAATTACATATAATTCTTGACATGGGCACTGAAATGAAGGCACTTGTCATGACATGGTACTAAAATCTGCTTCATTTGTCAGAGGGTTCAAAGGAATCATTGGATGGTACACAATGGCAGAACCATGATTCACCACGAGTCACTTCTGCCAGCTTGGTAGTACTTCACATTCACAGGGTGTCCTGTTGGATGTATTTTTCAAACAAGGACACACATATAGGTTCCATTTTCTCAAATACAAAGATGATGTTTTCCTTAGATGGTAGGTATGGCCTGATAATGTCCCCAAAATCACCAGCACTAGCACTAGCACCAGCGGTTTTCTTCTGCCGTTTAATTACCAATCTGTGCTCTGAACGTGGGTTTGGCATGCAATGACGCCCATGACATGTGTTGATGAGAGTGTCCTCATTATGGTCAAATTTATCGGCAATCCATTGACAAAATCCGCCACCTGTGTCTATGGAGGAGATTCTAGCGGGAAGGTCATCTATAGTTTCACTGGAAACAGCTGACTTTTCAAAATCCATAACATGGTCATAGGATACGGTGAGTCCAAGAGCAGATAGGACATTCAGTAGGATCTTTGACCTTGTAGTCTGATGAACAAAAAGACCAGTAGAAAGAAGCAAGGGTGACAAATAAGGCTTTGGAGCTGAAGCTTGCATAAGCACTTGACAAAGTGAAACAATTTCCAGGTGTTGCGTTTCTGCGGCCGAAATTGAGTTTAGTTTTCCCATCATACTGTTTACAAAATTGAACAGGACTGTAGGAATGTCTTTTTCAAGTTCAGTTATGTTAATGTCTTGCGGGAATGGATTAAACACATCTGATGATATTTTCTATTGAAGTCCTGACATGATGTCCCAATCTTTGTGCCTGCTTGATCTCATCATCCAGGATATTATCTTCCAAACTGTATGAATCCTGTAAAATAGATCATGCATTTTTCACAAATGTCACATTATTAGCTTTGCCATCTGTTTCTGATATTGTCAGATCTCCACCATAATGTTCAAGAAGTCAACGCTTGAGATGTTTGACACTGTAAGGCTGAACATCATCAGGAAGATACAAACTCATTTTCTCCTGCAGATAATATATTGTGAACTGACTTTGAGGATTCCTTGACAATCAGGCACATAAAAACTGGAATGCATTGCAGTTTACTGTGTCATTATTTTTAGTACTGGACTCTCCTCCACCTCTGCCTGTGAGAAACTGCTGCATACAGTGTCTGTGATACTTGGCTTCAACAGCCGGGGATCACCTGCACAAATGATTCTTGCCTTAATTTGCAATGCATGTTCATCAACTCTCTTTTCGCAAGTTTCAAGTATTGTTTTTTTGATGTCTGCTCTTTTTCTCAATTGAGATTGCTATCTCAATACAGCTTATCGCAGAACATCTATCAGAGTGGCGTTTTAATCAATCAGTCAATTTGCTCAAATTAAGCAGTGGGTTTCATAGTCAAAGTTAGAGTGCAGAGTCTTCAAAACACGTGAGGTTGAATGAGTCACATTTTTACCAACAGCATTTTGACGTTTTTTGAAGCAGTATACCCTTTCCGACATTTCTCATGCAAAAATATAATTTGTCCTGCAATAACCTTTCATATAAATCATCTCTTCCCCGAAGCAGCAATTAGAGATGAAATTCCCTTTTGTGAAAGCTTGACATTCCCTTTCTCCTGGTTACAGATCACACAAGATGTGTCTGTCCTTTCTGAAAAACAAGAATAAAGAATGAAATGTTTTGATGATACATAAGTTATATTTTTATATTTTTAATAGCTTTCTTCTGATTTATTTAGTATGACATACTTCAGAAAATTAAATGAAGATAAAATATCAAAAGAAAACTTCACTATTGAATATCTATAACTGTTAAAAATGAATAAATGCATTTGTAAAAGGTCTCATCCTATTCAAATTGTAGTTTTATTAATTTTTCAATTTAACTGCCTAAAAATAACTTCTGAAAATCAGTGATTTCTGTGAGATTAAACTTTTTTGGCAGGATTTTATTAAATATTCATTACAGATATTTGCTATGTTTACTTTACATTTAAGTTCAGAACAATATGATTTTAAAAAACTACATCCAATTTTATATAATGATAAAAGGGATAAATTACAACAACAACAAAATAACAAAGGCTTTGAATACTGCTAATGAGCATCTAAAAATGTTTATTTAAATTGTTTGAAAAAATTATGTATATTTCTGAAGATTTCAGCATAGGGTCTTTGACACATGTAATTTGCCTGTGGGAAAGTAGTATATGACACTTCCTCTAGCAGACGATGTAGTGAACATATTTTGGATAATCATACATTATTTTTCCATTATTTTATTTAAGTGAGTAGATCATATTATTATGTTTCTCACTTTAAAACAGCATCAACAAGATCATGACTAGTTAAACAGTTCCAACTAGATTGAAAAAAATGACATCACATGTATATGTAGTCTAGATGCACATAGGACAACCCTTGAGTTTTATCATGCTAGAATTATACCTAAAGACGAAATTTTCTGCATATAATATAATAAATGTGTCCACACAGTTTATGTCCACCTGTAATGCAGCTTTCAGTTGAAGACATTTCCTTTGGAAATCACATTGGCATTAAATGCCCTTGAGTGGTGAGGTAGCACCTTGGGCTGACATCTTTGTTGTGACTGAAAACGGTACTAGTTGCCTGACAGCTACATACAAGTCAAACATACACACGGAGCTCAAGTAACTATTTTTTAATGACAAATTTAACATATTTCCCCAAGGTTGATTTTGGTTGGGTTTTTATTATAGACACACAGTGTCATGATAATCATTTCTGTCAACAAATTGGCTTGTTATCGCAAATGTCTAGGTTAACTAAAAAACAGGGATTTTCTACTGGCCTATATATAAAACACAAAAGAAACCCACGTCCACTCGCGCTTCGGCTTACAGCAGTGAACCTCAGCACATCGGTGGTAGATGGATGGCCGTTGATCTCCGGATTGTAGAACTCTGATCCGGTTGGCAGTTAGGTATTAGCTAGTTGCCACAATGTCTCTAGCGTTCTCGCCCTTATTTAATTATTAGTTCGCTTTCCCAGTTCTTTTATGTTCAGTTGTTCGGGTTGCCTGTGTGTCGCCATTACTAAGACATTAAAGCTTTTGGACTTGATTTCACGTGTCCTGGCCCGCGTTTCACAAAAGCCTCCTAAATTTAGCAGGTCGTAGCCCATGCGACCTTGTTTTCGACCCTCTTCCGACCTCCTTTACGACCGTTTCACAAAGACGTCGTATCCATATCGTACGACGGGGTCCTAAATCCATGTCGTACACTGGTATAACGCGAGACCGAATTGGCACCTGATTATCTCGTTATTCCCAAACTATTTCAAAATAGAAATACAGTCTGAATAACAAATTAATGCAAGCCTTATGTTTTTAATTGTAAGTACAGGTTATCTTATGGAAAAAAAATCATTTTGAATTCTCTCACTAAATTCCAATGAAAATTACAAGAAAAAATAAAATAAAAATATGAGGGATTCGAACTAGCGATAGCTGCGAGAGAAAAAACTATCATCGCTGTTACCCCCTGGGTGCCAGAGGGTCATAATGTCCTTCCTCTTCAAACCTCACTTTGAAGTCCAATAAAATTCTAAATATATCACACACACAAACATACTTCAAAGGTTTAAATTTTGTGGGAAATTCCCTGTTTCTTGATACCATCCACTATTATCTCAGACAAATCTAAAGTGCTTCAAATAACATTTCAAAATATGCTTCATCGTAAATGTCGCCCCTTTTGACGCAATGCAAAATCGCGATTCACAGCGTTATTTGCTGTATGTTTTGAAATGTGAAAATCGGATAATTACAGGGAGTATTGAATTTCCAAAATAGCATATTAATGATCACTGATATCAGTTTTTCATGAAATTACTAATGATAATTCTGAAACGTTGCCGATGAACCTAGAATCGGTTAGGATGTTTTCGAAAATACACTTACCCGAACGCCGAAGTCATAACAATGTGCAGTATAATAAGCAAATAATGGACTTGTTTTCTGCAGAAATAATTCGATGTACGCAAGCGTTCTTATGATTTTCGGGAAAGAGACAGTTTCAGAAACGGTGAAACAAAACGTTGTGTAATACGATACACTACGTTTAGACAACGTATATATTTAACGTTGTGAAATAATGTTATATATAAAAATGGCGTAATACTAATATTGTGCACAAAAAGCGACTATGCTTGTCGTAAGAGGCGACTAACGGGATCGGGTGGTCAGGTTCGCTGACTTGGTTGACACATCGGTTTCCTATTGCGCAGATCTATGCTCATGCTGTTGATCACTGGATTGTCTGGTCCAGACTCGAGTATTTACAGACCGCCGACATATAGCTGGAATTGCTGAGTGCGGCGTAAAACTAAACTCACTCACTCACTCACTCACTAATGTTGTGACAACGTTGTGTCATGACGTTACCAATCTAGAACCTGCCCTTAACGGCGAGAAAACGTTGTGTGTTAACTGGGTAACTCGCTCTCGGCAGCCGAGAGAGCCCTTGTCCGGGGGAGAGATTGGCAGTCCTATTGCAATGTGCTTAAGACAGGCTCTATAGACAAGAACCCTGGTGAGGCTTGTCAGTTTGCTCACTAGTTTGCTCATCTTCCACACTCTCAGTGTCAGTTTGGAAGGGAATGTTGGCGCTATTCCAGTCCAATGTTTGATTCAGGTTACCAGGAGAAATGCTCTTTGATGGTAGGCCGAGGTAGGTGAACTGGCTCACCACCTCCAGCATATATGTTTGTTGCACGCAGCAATATTCCAGCCATATGGCGGTGGTCAGCAATAGTAACAATAGTGGTAAATAATCGAGTCTGGACACATCAAGTGACTAATATCTTGAGCATTGATCTACGCATTTGGGATACGACGACACCTGATCCCGTCAGTCGCCTCTTACGACAAGCATGAGTTACTAAAGACCAATTTTAAAACGGATCTTCTAAGTATCAAGTGTTCTTGTCACGACATGACTGAAACATTGCCGATGTGACTTTAAAATGTTTACTCACTCATTCAGTGAATACGATTCGGCAAATAATCAAGACCCCATACATCGGCCATATTCAGCCGTGTGGTGACTAAAACATGTAAATAGTAAAGTTATTATCAACGGTCTGGAGATACCAGACGTCCCTGAACAGGTGAGGGTAGCCTATCTCGTACTCCTACTTTTCTGTAGTATGAAAGAAAACATCCAACGTGTTTAAGGTCATTTTGAAACAAAGCTGTGTTGGTTATGTCATAAACTATTGTGAAAGGAATGTTGTTTGTGGTTGTTTTGTTGTTTTAATAAGTTTAATAAGCTCATCTGTAACAGGTGTAATGTATTAGGACTTTGGTCTCTTAAATATGTTACTTCGTGATTTGATAATGGATAGGTACTTTCATTTAAACTGTTAACTGTCTGTATCATAATGTTGGACTGTAATATTTCATATAAAAAAAAACATATATACCGTCTACTTCAGACTCTCTATGCAAGACTGTTCATGACACGTTTTCGGCCTCAATGTCGTTGAATTGAGTTATTCTCTTTACTGACACTTAATTTTAGCATATTCACATGTCATCTGCATGAGAGTTTCAGATGAAAATCAGGTTAAAAATTGAATATGATATCACTGTTGTGTAGCGGAATGCTGTCTTACTCTTTGTTTAGATGACAAGGCCAAGAAAAGAGGAGACAATGGATCCCTGTGATGATCCTGATACAATGGACGTGTTCGAGATGACTGAGGGTAATTCAGAAAACGATGGCTGCAGTGCAACTCCGCAGCAAAGAGAGAAGTGGAATTCACGTCTGAGTTACCTTTTGTCCTTAGTTGGATGTTGCGTGGGATTTGGAAATTTGTGGAGGTTTCCTTACATCTGCAGTAGAAACGGTGGAGGTAAACCCAATCGCTTTGTTCGTGTCTTTGTTTAACATCACTGCAGCATGTCCGTGGCCCCGTGAATATGCGAGTCCAGACAATCTAGACTAGATAAGCTATGCAGTGATCGACATCATGAGCATCATACAGTGACATGCTCCATCCAAATCAGCGACACTGACCGCCCGATACCGTCAGTTGCATCCAACGACAATAAATGCTACGTATGACTAGTATGGGTTGCTTCAGATAAACTCTAACTCTCGGATCTTTACATGGAAGTAAATAAGATGAATTTGGATACGTATTGTGTATTGTATTGTATTGTATTGCATACCCTATGTTGATCAGATAATTTATGTAGTGATTTACATGATGAACAGACTGACCACCCGATACCGTCAGTAGCATCCAACGACATGACTGCTAACTCGGATCTTTAAACGGAAGAATTCAGATGAATTTCGGTACGAATTGTCTACGTTATCTTGAATACGTGTCATTATTTAGATCCTCAACACTAATGAATCTATTTGTTTCTTCAACAGGAGCTTTCCTCCTGCCGTTCTTACTCTGCCTCTTTGTGATCGGATTCCCAATGTTCTTCCTGGAGGCAGCCCTTTCTCAGTTCTCGAGAATGGCAACCCCTCGAGTGTGGAGTTTTTGTCCTATATTGAAAGGTTGACACATCTCATCATCCAGATCTCGAAACATATCCATAGAAGTAGCGGTCTAACGTTGAAAACATAAATTCCTTTTTTGTGGAAATGAATTTAAGAGTTGTTGAAGAATATGGCACATGTACAGGAATGTTAATCCTTCGAATTCTCGCAAACAACCTTTCTCTGAAGCTACCTCGGGGATATAATATTTTCAAAAGCCTCAGTTGGGCTGACATTGTCCATTACTATGGATTTGGTACTCTATAAAGAGTAGAAAGTTTAACTGGAACTTTCAGTGATATGGTTGATATGCATGCATAAATATTTCCTTCCATCCGTTACTGCCTTAAAGAATAATTGATAATTACTGGAACATTGATTACAGAATTTACATAAATACATATATCCTACTACGTTTAGTAGTCACAAAAAGAAATCAAACACGAATGTCATAATTGAATGTCATTATGATTTATTATATTTAGGCGTTGGAATCGGGACTCTTTTGACGTGCACTGTCTTCATCCCAAGCTACAATATCCTTCTGGCTTGGCCCATTTATTACATGGTGAAGTCCTGTTCCAGCGTTCTGCCGTGGACAACTTGTGGCAACAGCTGGAACACTGATCTGTGTGTGGAGGCTGTAAAGACTAGCACCTTCAACAGCAACAGAACATTTGTAGGCAATGCATCCATTCCTGAGGGAGAGTTGTGGGAGAACGACACACTGGCTCATACTGCTGCTGAGGAGTTTTGGCAGTATGGTGACATAATACGTTTATTCGATACGGGTTAATGAGATAAGATAATGTTTGGAAAGTGTAAATAAAAGCAACAAAACCATTTCCACATCCAATGAAGATACAATACACGCAGTTGCGATTAGATATTGTCCGACAATATAAATAAAAGCGACAAAACCTTTTCCACATCCAATGAAGACACAATACACGCAGTTGCGATAAGATATTGTCCGAAAATATAAATAAATGCGGCAAAACCTTTTCCACATCCAATGAATATACAATACACGCAGTTGCGATTAGATATT